CGCTGTGCACCCCAAAATCAGTCACTTCAAACTTGGACAAGTCACTTGGGTCAAAGTTTACACAAAGGGCTTGGGGGGCAGAGGTAGGATTTGAACTCAGATCTCGTGTCCCACACCAATGCTTTAACACGCCAGGCCACCCTTCCTCCCGAGGGCCTTCCTCATCCTCCTGAGCTTTCAAGGGAGCAGTACAAGCCCTTCCCTGTGCACCCCAAAATCAGTCACTTCAAACTTGGACAAGTCACTTGGGTCAAAGTTTACACAAAGGGCTTGGGGGGCAGAGGTAGGATTTGAACTCAGATCTCGTGTCCCACACCAATGCTTTAACACGCCAGGCCACCCTTCCTCCCGAGGGCCTTCCTCATCCTCCTGAGCTTTCAAGGGAGCAGTACAAGCCCTTCCCCACCTTGGATAATTACAATTAAACAAGAACCCAATATGATCAGCAGGATTTGTGTTGGGAATCTGCAGACTGGTTCCCAGTCGGTTTTGCTTCCCTTCTCGCCTGCACCAGCACAGGGCTGGAGCGTCCAGGGCGGTGAGGCGAAGGGGAACAGTTTGTTTGTTTTAAAGGAGGTTTCAAGTGGAATTCTGTAGAGTGCCTCATGGAAACATTTCTATTGGTCTGAAAGGTTTCACAACAAGCTTGCTTTTATAAAACCATCCGTTCGGGCCAGATTTAGCCTGCGTTGGTCTAAAAAGGGTTTGCTAAATATAGCCGGGACAAGCCACACTGCTGGCTGAGCTGCGGGTCGGTGTTTGCTAGGGTGTACTTCCCTCCCCGGGAGGCATGGCCAGGACCACAGAATCCGCCTGTTATGGACGCGCACGCAAGCAACAGAAGGTAAGTGGGAGGTTGAGAAATAGGCTGTTTATACCTCTGAGAGGGAGCTGGATAAAACCAGCAGCCAAGAGTACAGCCAGCTTGTTTCCCTGCGCCCTCGGGGAGAAGGGGATGAACTGGGGAGGTGACTGACTCACACAAGCCAGCAGGAAACAGAGTCAAGTTGCCACACCCAAGGCAAAGGGACCCATTCCGAAAGCTGTCACAATCCAGTCCTGGATTTCCCCGCAGCCAGCGCCGATTTCTCGGTGGAGTCATCCATACAGGAACAGAGGGGTAACCTGTTCTCTGTTCCAGCAACAAGAGGGCTCTTGTGGCACCGCAGAGACGGGCGAAAAAGCTCTCGCCCAAATACATTTGCTCCTCTCTAAGGGGCCACAGGATTCCTTGCCGTCCCTACAGGAGCGTTCAGCCAGTGCAGGCTCCACCACTGCACCAGCCTCATGCTGCTGCACTCGGGAACCTCTTTCCACCGCTCCCCCCAAACCAACCTGGATCCACAGCCTCTGCCTCTCCTGGGCCTTGCCCTTCAGCTTGGGGCCGATCGTGTTTTTCAGTTCTGGGACCAGCTCCTCCATCACCAGATTGCTCAAGACCTGGAGGAGCGGAGGGAGGAAGCTGTTAGTGACTAGAGCTCACACGGCGGCGAGCTGTCCTTCCATCGCTTGGGCGCTCCGCTCTCCCCTCCTCCCTCTTCCTCACAGGCTGCCCCTTCTTCTGAAGTGCCATTTCATCCCCCCCCAGGAATCTCCTTCCTCAGCCCCACCACAGGCTGCGGGGACACCCTCCCCGGTATCTCCATCGCCTTGCTCCAAGGCTGTGGTACTTCCACCTAGAGCAGCGCTACTCAAGACGTGGCCCGTGGGCTCCATGTGGCCCACCGCCCGGTTGTGACCCACCATGCGGTGCGTGGCTCAACACGCCGCCCACAGGCGGGATCCTCTGAACACGGCCTCCACTGGGAACATGCTCCACAACAGCGAGGGGTCTCCCAGGAGGGGTGAACGCTGAAAGGCGCAAGCGGACGGGCTGGCTGGAACAGGCGGGTACAGGGCGTCGGCGTTTCTAGCCCCCAGGGAGGAGGTGCCAGGAGTGCCAGAGCATTGTGGGAAGTGCTTTTTATTCATGTCTGTCCGTGTGAAAGAAGCTATTTGCATATATTTGCATGTCTATGCAACCACACTTAAGTTGCGGCCCTCAGCATGTGCTGTGAGTATCACTGTGGCTCCCCCGGGGCTTCCAAAGTTGCATAACCCTGGTCTAGACCAGGGCCCCTCATGAGGGCTCCTGGCACATGCCACATGCTAGCGGCCTCCCTGAAGTGCTGTCACTCTGAGGATACTCGGGGAAGCCAGTGCTCCCCACACGTTTTCTAGCGAAGGAGAGCCCTGGCCCCACAGAGGATTCCAGCCCCCCCGTCATCACCAGGGGATTCCACCAGACCGTAGGGAGCGGGGGGGGGGGAGATTTCCCTACCACAGTGGGAACTGTGGTATTTGCAGAGGCCCAGCAAGGTCCCGGAGCCATAACCGGCCGTGGCTGGAATTCCTGCGGGGCGGGAGCAGCTCGGCTCCTGGTGGAACGCCCTGGGAGGGGAGCATGGCACCTTCCTCTTTCTCAATCGGCGCCAGTGTGCTGGGAGGGGTGCCGCCAGGGCGTGTCGAGAGGGAGAGAGAGGGGAAGGCTGCAGGAGTATTTGGGGTACCAATCCCTGCCTGCCTGCATGCTACCTTTCCTTCCCCCGGGTTTGCCCTCCATGCCAGCCAGCCCCAGGACTTCACCCTGAGTCTGAGGCATCAGCGGAGCTTCTCGGGGGAGGGCATACACGGCGAGCTCCCCCACTGGGATAACAGCTTGGGCTTCTTCCCACGCAAAGCATTGCTATTTCTAGGGAAGGGTGGGAGGTCGCTTTTAAAAAGGCAGCTCGCACCAATCTTCCTACAGACGTGTCCTCTCTTGGAGGGCCCCTAGCACCCCAAAAGGCAGCCCCGTTGGTGGAAAGGCTGGGAAGGTATTCAGGGTTCCCCAGGACACCCCCAGCCAGGGGATGCCTTGCCACAGCAGCTCTGTAGTGAAATCCGTCCATCCCACCAGCATAATGTCTATACAAAGGGGCAAGCCACAACAGGCTGGAGCTAGAAGGGGGAGAGAGTGCAGTGCAGATACAAGCTAACCAGACCTTGGTGCCCATGGCAGCCACTGGACGTGATACCAGTGGGTACCACAGGCACCCAGAAAGAGGGGGTACCAGGCAAGGGGGAGGAAGGGCCAACAGAGGACGCTAGCATAGCACCCATCCAGCAGTGACCCACAGGCAACATCCCACCAGCTGACAGGGCAAAGGGACAATGGGTTTGCCCCCCCCCAGATTGATCCCTGGTGGGGGGCATCAAATGGGACAAGCCCCGCACGGCAATCAAGTCCCATGGCTCTGGAGCATCTAATCCACCGCGCAGCTGGCCCCAATCGCGGGTAGTCTCAACGCAGCCATAAGCAGGCAGGTTCGGAGGCTCCGAACCATCCCCAGTCCGGCTGGGGGCCTTGCAGCTCAGGGGGGCACACGCCTCTCGCCCTCACCTGCACCTCGTTGCCACAGAGCATGTCCCAGGTGCCGTACTGCTCCTTCGACTGCCGGTACATGCGGATGGCATCCGTAAAGGCCGGAGCCTCCACTGTGGAGTCCTCTGGGATGCCTGAGGGGGGAGAGAGAGGGGGGTTAGTTACACTGCGGCGGGGGGGAGCCAGCAAAGAGGAACCACAGATTCCCTGCGATGAGCTCACAGCCTCGGTGACGTTTTTGTCCTTCACGTTAGTTCCACATTCCCTTCCCCTGCCGTGACTCACACCGACGAGCACTGCCGCCCTGGGATGCTCCCCGCCACAATCTGACAGGGGTGGGGCCCTTTCTGAGTCGGGAAACACTGATCCACAGAAAAATCAGCTGGGGGCTGCACACAAGGGAGAAGCCCAAAAAAACCCCCAAATCCCTCACTGAGAAGAGACAGTGGCCCCTAACTCAGAAGCAGAAAGACACTCCCCACGTTTCCCTCACACACCAGAGCCTAGGGGGGCCCAGGCCAGTAGATTGTGTGTGCTCCAGCCCTGTGGTAGGCA